GATCAACAAGGAAAGGCGGCGTTCAATGAACGCAACCCCCATATGACCCAGCAACAAGAACCAATGGCAAGGAGCCCAGGCGGACCCCAAACATAAAAAGGACAGGGCAACGACACGTTAATCATTAAATGAAAAATAATTTGTAACTGATTAGGAATTCAAAGAAAATAATAATAGGCCCACAAAGGGGAAGGGGACAGGAGACCGGGGGAAGGGGGGGGGGGTGGTTAATCAAAGAAATAAAAACTAGAGGCAATGGGGAATATACTTACCGTAGACGAGAAAACAACAAGGGACACAAGCAAAAGTGTCACCAAAACAGTACGAAACAACATAGACATACATCTGAGGAACATAGTGGGGCGCCGCCTTGGAACGCTCAGCAGCATAATAATGACTGCTGGGGAGTTTAAACCGGTTAATGGTGCACCAAACCTCGCTCTTAGCCCCACCATGTTCCTATAAACGAGACAGTGTAAATAAAATGAATCCCCGCCAAGTGAAATTCTAACAGTTGTCATGGTTACAAAAGGTTAAATAAGTAAAACACTAAAATGATCATGTAGAAACATACAAAAGCAAACCCAATGACCATAACAAAAGTACTCAATGTCCTAAAGGAAGACAGAGCAACAAGAAAATCACCTACAAGGGCCCGACGAAGCAAGGCAGAAGACGAACATTAAGACAATTCAGTCCCAAAGGGCTTTACGAACTATCCATCATAGAGTCTCCCACTTGGTCCGTCAGATGCAATCAAAAGAGGAAAGCGTAGTGTCCAACTGTAAAAGGGTTGAACACTAAACATGCAGTATGTCTTAAAATAGTAGGGTCATAACCTCTTTTAATAAAACGTTTAATGATTTTAGTAAAAACAGCAGAAAAATTACCATGACCCAAAATCTTACGAAGTTTGTAAACCACATCACCATAAAAACCAGGCTGGCTAATCCCTTGTCGCAGAAGAGTTTTTAAATCACTATTGAATTTAGAAATTAAATCAAAGTTACGATTGTAAAATTTAGTAAAATATTTCCGTAATTTATGATAGCGGTAGCCCTGTTTTAGAAGCTTGCTGGTAATAAAAATATTCCGCTCGTTGAAATCCTTTACGTTGTTACAAGCTCTAGCGAATCTAATTAACTGAGAAACATAAACCCCGTAGGATGTTGCATGGGGTACGTCTCCATCCAAATGTGGATAATTAACTATACAAAAGTCAAAGTCATCTCTTTTATCATAAATTTTCGTGTGAATAGAATTGTTGTTGATAGTAATATGAAGATCCAAAAATGATGTACTAAAATTTCAAGAGTTCGTTTTATTAAGTTGTAGTTCATGCGGATAAATGTCAGACACCATTTGATCAAAATAAGGATTATCTAAATTAAAAATATCATCAAGGTATCTGGAAGTATTATTAAATGCGACTATAACATCTTGTTGTTTCTCTTCAGAGAGACTCAACATAAAGTCTCTTTCATAGCAGTATAAAAACAAATCGGCGACCAGGGGTGCACAATTAGTACCCATAGGAATTCCTATGATCTGTTTAAATAGGGTATTACCAAACCTGACATAAATGTTGTCTAAAAGAAAAGAGAGTGCTCTACAAACTTCGTCACAGGTCCACATAGTATAATGTTTAACAATACCGTTAGTAAAAAAAGCTTTGTTAGAATTGCATGCTAGAAAGGTAACTTTTTCCCGTGCAAAAGTTTTCTGAATTAGGGAAATTAGTTTATCATTGATTAATTTATGTGGCAAAGTTGTATAAAGTGTAGAAAAATCGTATGTACTGACAGTTGAAGCTTGAAAGTTATTAATTTTGAATTTATCCAAGATTTCACCAGAATTTTTAATTGACCAAAAGAGATGTTTGCCTGTGTTTTCATAGACTTTATCACAATATCTAATTACATGTGTTTTAATGGCAGTCAAACAAGACGTCAATAAAATAGAAAGTTTACTTGTAGTGCAAGATGTAGAATTAGCAATAAATCTGGCTTTGTAAGGTTTTTTATGTAATTTAGGAATCCAATACATAATAGGAAGTTTGAGTTCTTTTTCATTAATTTGGACTTTAAGATTGGAAATATTAGTAATATGATTGTTTACAATGTCTTTTTCGGAGGCAGAGGTTTTAGAATACGCATTAGTGCTATTTAGTTCCTTATGCAAAACGTTAATGTAATGGATTCGTCAAACAATTATAATATTATTAGCCGCCTTGTCCGCTGGCACCAAAACAAATTTTGAATGAAAAGCTAGAATATCTTTTTTCAGATGTCTTAAAGTAAGTCTTGGTTTAGGTGGCAAAAGATGTTCATTTCCACGATAAAAATTAATACGTGAATCAATAATTTTAAAAATGTTACGTTTCCATGTAACTAGAGCATTACTATCCGCATTTTCACGGCGGCACCATTTGACCGAAAAATCCTCTATAGATTCAGCAATCTGACCACGACAAGCATTAAAATCAATCTCAGAAGGAATTCTGTATTTAGGTCCTTTCAAGAATAAGTTACGAATTCTTTTGTCTGCAATTATATCAAAATTACCAGTGATTATATGGCCATCTGAATTACAGAATTTAGAAGTATTGCAGTCTCAAGTTGTTGGAGTATTAGACTGAATATCTAAGTCAGAAACCACTTTGTTGTAATTAAATATGATATTTCTAACAGGTTTCTTATATTTATAGCAAATAATTGGTATCTCGGAGTTTTTGAAGTATAAAGGAACTGAATTAGTGACACGTTTATCACGAAAAATACTTGGTAAATCGATGAAATCGATACCTTTATTAAGAAAGGTTACTTTTAGGAAATGCCTGTTGTGGTCAGAAGTGTTGTCGATATGAGGTCTTAAGACGTGCTGAGTATAACTTTGAATAAGATAAGCTGCTGTATATAAAGGATCTGTTTGAATAACTATATTATCTGCCTCCGCGTCTAAGATTTTCAGAGATGATAATGAAAGGGAAGTAAGACGTGATAACATTGCATGTTTACCAGAGTTTTTTAAGGTAATATTTAAGTCGGTGACAGACAGGGTAATTTTAGATTTACGTTTGATGTTGCCATTTCTACGTACTCCGTGAGATCGGGATTTACGTTTACGAATATTCAGAATAGAAAATATATCAATGTTTGGATCTTTAGAGATGTTACCTTGTTGAAAAATATTGTCATTTAGGCCAAGTGGGAAAGGCGTTTGTAAGTTCTTGATCCATTTTAATTCTGCTAAGTGTCTATCTTTAACTTTAAAACTAGCAGAAGCATCAGAATCGTAAATTATTTGTTCCACTGGTTGAATTGAAACATTTTTAAATGAATGACCATCTTTACGAAAATGTTGATATAGAAAAGTTGTAAATTTTGTGCGATTTCTCATTTTATAAAAATGTTCACGGAATCGAATTTTAAGAGAACGTCCTGTCTGACCAACATACTGTATGCCACATCCAGGGGTGTTTCAAGTTAAAACATAAACAAAATGAGTTGCCTTTCAGTCAACGTCTGTATTCAAAATAATATTAAAAGTTCTCCCATTTACATTAGAGGTTATTGTAGACCTGTGCGATAAAAAGTTACAACATCCGCACCTCTTAGCTGTGTTAAAGACAACGCTAACTTCATTGTGGGCATAGGCTTCAAGACATAGGCATATACTTCATGGACATCACGTATTATCTTTGCCCACTTGTGCTCCAACTTGGTTAACCCTTCAAAATAAAAATATTTATTTTGTCCTGAAAGAACTCATTGACTGCCCCCATAACAGCTTCATTGCTCCCAAAACCTCTACCACGAAACTTTGTTTTCAGTTTTGGAAACAAGTAGAAGTTAGCGTAGATGAAGTCCAGAGAATATGTGGGATGGGGAAGAATTTCAAAGCCGCATTCAGTTGCAGCAGCCATCGCAACTTAGGATGTGTGAGCTGGCAAACTGTCGTGCAGGAGCAGAACAGGAGAACATCTTCCCTACTGATGACACCCTCTTGAATTTCTTCGGAGGGGATGAGCCAGGGTGCTTCCACTGCATGCTCTGTTGTTTTTTTTTATTCTGGATCGAGGTGATGGACCCATGTTACATCCTGGGTTACGATCCGGTAGCTTAAATCAGGTTTCATCCTCGTAGCGAGACAAAATATATCTCGAAATGTCAAGTTTGGTCCGTTTCTGGTCGTCAGTCAACTGTCTTGGGACCCATCTGGCGAAAACCTTTGACATGCCATAGACATCATTTAGAATTGCCTGACCTGAACCATGGCTTATACCAACTTCCCTAACAATGCTTCGAAGGTCTCGCCTTCTTTCGCATATGACCAGATTGTGCACAGCTTAGGCAGTTTAATCGTTGGTGGCCTCTTTTGGCCGCCCAGCCGCTCATCATTTCAAATGCTCTCCCTGCCCCTCTTCAATTCACAGTGCTATATAGAGGAAGGAGACTCCATGGTCTTCATGGATTTCCTTGGGGGACGTCCCTCTCTTACAGACGGCTCTGATTCAACTTTCTCCATTTGGTCTAAATGACACATCCCTCTACTGATCAAAGTGGTTTTACTTAATACTAGTAAAACCGCATTAAACTCGGTCAGTAATCTTCAATAAGATATCGGTACCGACGTATTGTGCGTAAATGTCAGTGTAGTGGCTAGAAGTATATGGGACCGAGAACTTTTTGATCATACCTCGTATATATTATCGCGTTACCATGGTTACTATTCAACTGTCGTTCAATGGGTTTTGTATTTCATATATTTAATTATATATTAAATATATATTACAGCTATCGTTTTTTTAATATTTTCATGTGCATAAAATATATACAAGACCTTATACTCATAATGAAAATACGAAGCGTGTTCTTCAAAATGTTTTACCTTTATGATGTTTCTTCTAAGAACGATAAGCATGATTTTTAGCATCTATGTTAATGTTGAGCTTGTGATATTATTAATAATGGTGATAAAGTTATGATTGCTTTTTTTACCTTTTATCTTCTTTTGATATGTTTCCTCGGAGATCTCGGCATGGGCATCGTTACCTCTGGCTGAAAACATATAATGATAAACATAATGCATGACGATAAAGTGTGAACTCAAAGAAAATAAACATATGATTATTATCATTAATGCCATAAAAAATAATAAGAAGAATTATTTGAATATGGAAAGTGTAGGTTGTAAAACGTGCATTTTGTTACTTTAATTAGCTTAGATTTGTAAGAACATAATAAATTTTGTAGGCTTAGATAACTGAAATAATGCCTTACATTTTTCTGCAGCTTTTTGTATATCCATTATTGCATTTTCCTTTTCTTTGGTGACAGTTTGAACTCCATCATTGGCAACACTTTCAAGGGTTTCTTTTCCTTTTCTTGCCAAGTTGTCTATCTCCTGAATCGATTGTTTTACCTTAGCATCAAAAGCATCAATGGACGAGTTTATCGCATCATTCAGCTGGGCAAGTGAAACATTTTCAATATCTTTCACTTTTAAGTTAATTATGTCAATCAGCTCTAATTTTCTTTTTTCAGTCTCCTGTTTGTACTCATCCATCTCATTTCTTATTTGTTCCTGAATCGTTTTTCCCACATCTTCCAAAACATTACGTACAACGTCTTTCCCAATGATCAAATCGTCACTTTGAAGCTGAAATTATAGAGAAAAGGATGAGTGCATTGAATTATTTATCATCAATTTTTACAGAATACCCTGTCATTTACATGTATAGTGGCTCATTTAATAAATTTTTCATGCAGGTTAATATTTTTTTATTCTTTTCATAGCGTTTTTTCTTCAAAATATTTTATATACGGATTGCCTTAGCCTTTCTTAAGATGAAACATTTTGAAACATTTATGACGAAGTAATTTTAGAATGTAAGGATTGGCATATCACATTTCAAAACGATATTAATACGAGTATTTATTAATAAATTTCTTTGTCAGATTTTCATTTTGAGGGGATTATTTTTAAAAACAGTCAACAAGCTTTTTAAAAACCTTTTTTTTTAAGGAAAATTTAAATCTTTGGGAACTAGGAATAAGCCAGTTTTTCAAAGTAAATTTGCCCAAAGGGTTTGTTTTTATTTTTTAATTTTTTACATAATTAATAACGATACCCCTTGATTTAGGAAAAACCTCATTTTTTTCTTTAAATTTTCGTTTTAAAAAATTTAAAAAAAAATGTTTTAACCCTTTCCCCAAATTTTTTTAAAATTGCATTTTTTGGGTTTAAATTTTTTTCATTGGCTTTGAACCCCGGGATCCTTTCCAAATATTTTTTTTAAAAAGGGTTTTAAAAATACTGGGTAAGATTGTACCCCTCAAACCCTCCGATTAGGGGGGAAATGTTTGAAAAGTTTTTCCAACATCTCTTCCCAAAAATTTTGAAATATGAAAGTACAGTTTTGGTCAAGGGGAAAAATTTTCAGTTTATTTTTTTCCCCCAAATATATGGATAAAATTATCAACAAATGTCGTTATTACAGTTGTAGAGCACGTCTTTACAGTACAAAGATGGACAACTGTGACATTGAAACAACAAAACAACAACCAAACGGTGTCATGTAGTCAATTGCTCGTTCATACTTGTTTCAATGATGACTCATATGATCTTTAATTGTTTCTTAATATAAAGCAAACATTTGTGAAATTAAAGAAAATTTAGAAACCAAATTAAATATACAATAAATATAAATCACATTATTTAACTGTTACCTTGTCAAATATATTATTCTTCTTGGACAAGTCGTCTTTTATTTTTGCCTCAAATCCTTTGTGATTAATAATGACACTAATGATGCCATTAAAATCAGTCTCTGCAGCGTTTGATACATCCTTGTATCCGTCTGGCGGGAGATAACTTTGGGGGAAATTTTCCCCGGGCTTTTTGTCCCCCTTTTTGGTTTTCCCCGTCCTTTTTTTTATATGAGGGGCCCTTGATATCTTTGTGCGTTTTTTGAACTCAGTTTTTAAAATGATGCCCAAATTTTTTTTCCCGGGGCGGGCCGGAGGGCCCATATTTTTGTTGCGGGCCGTTTTTAGGGTAACTGCTTTTTTCCTCGTTTTGCTTTTTGGCAAAATTCTATTTGTTACAAAAAATTTAAAATTTTCCGTACAGGGGTTAAAACAGGTGTTTCCCCGGGTTTGGTGGCTTTTTGATGGGGGAAAATAGTTTTTGGGGAAAAGATTCTGCTGAAATCTTTAAACTTCTTAACAAAAAACGGGGATTCTTTTTCGTTTTTAGGAAATAAAACCCCCTTTTTGCACCCTTTTAATTTCCCAATTTAAAAAATTTTTGTTTGAAAATTGTGTCTTCACTGTCGGCAATGCTGTAGCCATCATATAATGTTTCTGAGGAGCTAGGTCGTGTACCGTTCCTTAAATCAAAAATATGAAGTGTCAATGCAATAAATGTATATTATTTAGAAGGATTACAACAAAGTTTAGATGTCTTGTTCACATACTGTAGGAGATGGGTATTAACCGTTAATATTGAAAAACCAAAGTTATGTTATTTACAAAAGCGTGGACCATTGCGTGAAAATGAAAAAATAAACTTACAATGACACAAAAATTTAGTTGTTGTAAAAAACGTTAACTATTTAGCAAACATGGGGTAATCGTAATCGGTAATTTAATTTAATTCAATCGATTACAATTTTTTGAGTAATCACAGTAATCAGTAATCATAATTTTTTCCCTGTAATTTAATCATAATTTAATCAATTACATGACCAATTAATCAGTAATCACAATGATTGCATGTATGATTACAATACATGTTAAGCTAAAAAAATTGCTGAACAAACATAAATATAAAGGTTAAAAAGTACCAGTGTCAATGTCTACTAATTGTCTGAGGTAGTGTAGGTGAATTAAATACAGTCACCCTGGTCAGATTTGATGACACCTGTGTATTAATAAGGTGATGAAAAGATCACTGACAGATTGACCCAATACATAAATGATTGTCACAATTATACCACTTAATTTTGGCTGTGAAATTATAACAATGGCCTGGATAGGTATATTATCACTTATTGAGAAGACTTTACAGGTTCAGTAAAGAGCAAGTATAAGCTGCAATTACTGACAAAGTGAGATATGGTTATATTTTCTGTTACATATTGGTATTGTTAAGTCCATGTAGAAGCAAAAAGTACAAAAAGATTTTCAACTTATCGAAAAGAAAGCAATACGCAAGCATGGCAGGAAATAAGCCTGCTGTTTTTAAATACTTCATATTGCTAGAAAAAAATTCCTGATGATGGCAATGTGAGAACCAAATGCTCACTTTGCGTTTCATATATATCAGGAAATGTTCAGAAAACATCAAACACTGTTCAACCATTGCATTTCTTAACTTATGTACATGTAATCAGTAATCATAAATGTAATGTGATTACTCCTGTCAGTAATCAGTAATCTAATAAATTACAATGCCAAAATGGGGTAATCAGTAATTTAATTTAATCAAGGATTTTGACAAATAATCATAATTTAATCGATTACAATTGTCAAGTAATCGCCCCATGTCTGCTATTTAGGTGTGGTGGTGGACTCAAATGGCAATTTTAACTCTAATACACAGATGCTCGTCGGCAAGGCGATTAAAGTTATGAATTGTTTAATAATTAATACAAAGAACTTTGATTTTACCCCAAAGACAATGTTGAGTTTATTTGATTCATTTGTTTCCTCAATTTTAAGTTACTCTTCTAAAGTTCGGGAATTTACTTAAAAAAAGACATTGAAAGTTGTTTTGTATTTATCAGATTTTTCAAACAAAATGGCGAAAGATGTCCCTTAAAATAAATATAAGTTTTGACTCCGCCCACTTTCATATTTATATTGCATATTTATTTTTAAAACATATGAAATATATTTGCCTGATATAGCTTATAATTCGTTTATTTTTTCTTTGCTTTTCTTATAAAGCAAGAGAGCATTCAATAACTGCAAGGGTCTTACGCCGTTATTTTAACCAATGATATCCACGTGAACTGATTTCTTCCTTATTCTAATTACAATAAAGTGTTTACTTCAAATTACATGCATTTATATGCTTGCCGCGACATGTTCGATAGATAATTGAAGACATCCTGAAACCGGAAATTTGAAACTGAAAGTGTTTCCTGTTGCAAGGTCAATATATCAAGTGTCGTTTGAATAGAAAAAAAAATAGATTTGTAAACTCGTAATTTGCCTTCAATTTTTTTCCTTAATGTTTTTCATATAATGTAGAAAAATATGACTGAGCGAGTGTTTTGTCAGTACTTAATCTTTACGCTATAAAGTATGGAGGCTATTCGTTGCCAAAAATCCAGCCTTGTTGATCTGAGTTGAACAGTTTGTTAATTGTATTTCTTTGTATGTAAACTCCAATGTTGCTTTCTCGGATTTAGTTTGCCGATTTAACATTGTAAATTTGTATTTCAACAAAATACATTTTGTTAAACGACAAAACATTAACTGTTTTGCTGATAGTAGCATTACCAAGTGTTCGAATACTCATTGTTTGTGTATACGCCGACAAAACAGAAGTTACATTCTAAGCACCATCATAATTCGGATCAGCATAATCCAGCTTTACACGTTTTCCAAAAGGAGATTAAATAAGCTCCGCCCATTTTCCCCGCCCACTACATCATTGTAAATAAACGTATTTATCCGCTAATTTTCGGTATTTATACCGTCAGCGACAAGAATTAAGCGGCGTAGTTTCCGTTTACCACACCTTTTACTTGTTATAGTTATTCACCAAACATAATTCACTTGCATGATTGCCATTCTATGGCTTTATACAATCAACATCGGCGGACTTTAAAGGATTATAGGCATATGAGTTTTAAAACGTTTCAGATACCACATTTCCTAGAAAAGGAAACTAAAAAAAATAATAAAAAACTCACCAGGCTACTTACTGCCTGAGGTTAAATATTTTTCAAGGAAGTAAAATCTATTGATAAGGCTAGATTCAAAGCACAAATAAATTTTACTGAGGGTATCCTAATTTGCATAGGAATGAGTAACATTTACAGTTAAGCTGCTACCTTACCACTTTCAAATTTTCAAGTCGACATCTGATAGAGATTTTGATACGACTAATTACTAATACAGACCAAATTCTGGCTATTGTCATTCCTAGTAGTAGCATTTACTATTACATAAGTAACCTTAAAACTAGCGTATGACTTGACAAGAAAAAACTTTTAAAAATAGTAAAATTATAACCAAAGTTGCATGTACCCTTTCGTACATAACTTTTTATTTTTACCGTACTGTTTAGATATATTTTCCCATTTTTCCCATTTTGTTTTTCAATAATGATATCTAAATGAGTCCAAAGGTATGTATGTTGATTAATAATGATTATCAATTGATGTATACCTTGTTTATTTTACTTCTTAGAAAGCCATCACTTACAAAACTTAATAAATATTCTGTGTAGTAATCCATGTACATAAAAAAATAGTTCCGATAGACAGCAAGTCTAGGATACAGCTATTCACTGAATGTATACACAGATTTTAGAGTTGCTATTGACTCAGTACAATGCATAAAAACATTAACCTACGTCAGCTTACATATACATGTATTTAATAATAGGAGGCTAAATCACATCCTATGACTCAAAATAC